TGACATGCACATTGTGATGAATGAGAGTAGTCTTCATTAATGGTAAGAGGAGACCACCCACTTACTCCTGATGTGTACTTTGGTGACGCGTCCTCTCTGTGTTCCATGCCCGGCCCAGGTTGGAGAGGTAAATATACCCCAAGCGCGTTGTACCCTGCCCTGGAGTAATCCCTGTGCCCCCGCCCCTTCTTCTCTTCCTCCCCCCCCCCCCACTTCAAACCCCCCTTCCTCCTCAAGCCACGCCCTTTTTTTCCCCTTGTTAGTGTATTCTTCCTTACCCTCCTCTCCCCTACCCCCACGCCCACCCCTTTTCACCTTGTCGTATTGCCTATACCACGACACCTGTAGACTCGGAGCTACGGTTACAGGCCAGGCTCACCCACGCCCATATCCACGCCCATACCTACACCCATGGGTACTGTGGAGTCGTGTGGGCGTGCGTCAAGCCTCGCCTGAAACCCGCTGCTGTAGCAAGGCCAAAAATGTAATAAAGGGAGACTGTGTGGGGGAAGAAAAAAGTAAGAAAGAATAAATAAATCGTAAAAATTAAACGTAAATAGTGTAACCCTGCCGAGACGAGGGAATATGACCCTTATGGTAGTTGAGCTTAAAGGCCATCATCCCCACAGTCTGCCACTTTACCCTCCTGCCCATCCCTGTACCAGAGTTTGTAATTTTTGTTGTATCTTGGTGTATTGTTTACTATGCTTTTCTCTTTGTTATGATCTAGTATTTGAAATGTTGTTTGTGTTAAATGTACGTGTATACATACGGAGCTGTATATGGATGCTATATGATATATATATATATATATATATATATATATATGCATGTATGATATATATGTGTTTATACATACATACATGTATGTTTATATATGTATGTATGTATATATATTCATATACATATCCATATATACCTATCCATACATGTATATTATCATATATATATATTATTATATATATCATATATGTGCATATATATATATATATATATATATATATATATATGTATATATAACATATTATATATATATATATGTATATATACATATACATATAGCATATACATATACAATACACATAATACCCATATGTACATATACATACATACATACATACATACATACATACATACATACATACATACATACATACATATACATAATATACATATACATATATGTATACATACATACATATATATATATAATTATATTATTATATATATATATTATATACATACATACATACACACACACATAAACATGTACATGCGCGCGCGGATCTCTCCACACACTCACACACACACACACACACACACACACACACACACACACACACACACACACACACACACACACACACACACATCACACACAGACACACTCACACACTCACTCACACACACTCACACACACACACACACACACACACACACTCACACTACACACACTCACACTCCCACCACAACACATACTCACGCAACACACATACGCACGCACACACACACACGCACGCACACACGCACCGCACACACACACACACACACACACGCACAGCCACACACACACACACACACACACACACACCACACACACAACACACACACACACACACACACACACACACACGCGCACACACACACAACACACAACACACACACACACACACACACACCACACACCACACACACACACACACACACACATATAATATATATATATATATATATATATATATATATATATATATATATATATATAAGTGCGTGTGCGCGCGACACACACATATATACATTCACATACATATAATGCATGTATGTCAGGATGTATGCATATGTATGCAAGTGCATATATATGGATATGTATTTATATATATGTGTGTGTATATGTTTATATATGTATATGTATGTATACATATATGTATAATTATATGCATATACATATGATATGTAGGTAATACACACATTATTTTTATTTGTCTTTTAATATAATTTCATTATGTTTTTACTCGTATATTATTGTTTTTTTTAACACTTTACATTTTTATAGGTAATGTAACAGAGCCATGTATTGCCATGAGCATACTTGGACAGCATTTTTTAAAGATTTTATTTTTCTCACGCTATTTCTGGTGTGTTGAAAAAAGGCGGGAAAATTCCCATTTTAATCCAGCAGCCTCTATGTTAACTTAATGGGCCATAGTTCCATTATTTTTTTTTTCTTTTTTAATTACTTGAACTTCTGAGACGACTGAAACTAGGTCTTATGAAGTTTTTTTTTGAAAACTAGAAAGGGGAAAATAAAAATAAATGAAGTACCCTAAGATTGTCAATTCTGATTATTTTTTGGAGTGATTATGGAAGGGAGAGATTCAGTCCAGTCAAAAAAAAAAAAAAAAAAAAAAAAAAAAAAAAAAAAAAAAAACTGTAGGGAAGTAATAATGATAATAATAATGATCATAATTATTATTGATAATTGCCATTCAGTGATGATTTAGTGATCAGAAATTTGAAAAAAAAAAAAAAAAAATCGAAGTGTCGCTTCATTCTAACCGTCATCTTCTCTTTCTTTGCCCTAACAGATCCAAAAGGTAAAGAACTGGGTATGACTCATGACGTTTTTGCTGACCCCAGCTCTCACTCGCACCTGCGGCATGTTGTGGCCACGCCGGGCCTTCCCTCTCCCCCCCCCAATTTCCCCCTTTCCCCACGCCCTCCACTCTAATGAACATCCCCCTCCCCTTTTCCCCCCTTCTTATCACCCCTATTTAGTACTTTTATCCGAAGCCTCTCTCGTAGGCTTTTTGTCGGATTTTCGAATTTTTGTTCCCTCCCCTCTCCCCTCTCTCTTTTTCCTCTCCCCCCCCCTTTTCCCCTCACTTTTCAGGCTGTGCTTAGCAATATGACCCCTGGCTTGGGTAATATTAGGTCGTGTTTTGTTGGTATTTGTGGGTGATGAAGGTCAGTTATTGTTTGTTTATTCGTGTAGGTAATGCTAATAATCATTTTCCGTGAAGAAAAACGATCGAATTCAATTTTCTAAATCCTTTCGGTTCATATATCTTCTCGGAACCCAGATAAAGATAAAAAGAAATGAATCATAACGATGATGATTATGACCACCATAAACAATTCTAAATACCAAAAAGTAAAACAAAAAAAAGAGAAAAAAACAAAAAAGACTTCAAGCCGCGTCATTCTGCTAGCACAGCGACTCGAGACTCACTCTCTCAGGCCGCACTCCACACCAGCTTAAGACGGTGCTCTGATGGGGGCTGATCCGGGGGGGTTATTGCCGTCGTGGGGGAGGGGGGAGGGGTAGGGGAGAGGGACCACGTGGGGGAAATGGCGGATGAGGGGGTGGGGGAGCTGGTATAACCGGTGGTGATAACGTGTGTAAATTAATTTTTGTATTTTTATTTTTGCGATGAAAATTACCGAAGAAGGATTTATATATATAAGTAATATATTTTTTTATATGGGAAGAATCACCACAGCTGCCCCGCGCCCCCCCCCCCACTTCTCTCTCCCCTCCCCCTCCCTCCCCCTTCGCCCCTTACCACGGTGCCCCAAATACCCTCCTGTGTGACGGTGAGGTGTCCCTTCCCTCCCCTTTCCCATCCCCTCATAGTACTCTGCGAGGCTTTTGTGATTTCTATTTTCTTCAAGGGTGCGGCGCCCCCCATGTGACGTGAGGTCGCTTTTCGAAAAGACCCGATACTTTTTTTTTTTTTTTTCTCTTTCCGAATCTCTTACTCTTTTTTTCTCGGTCTGATATTTCTTCGAGATTTACTGCTGTGGTTTGATTCGTCGTCTTGTCTTTTATCGTGTTTGTCTATCTTTTTTTCTTTCATCTTTTTCTTTTTCTTTACGTCTTTCATATTTCCGTCTTCCCTCTTTCGTCTTATCTCTCTTCTTTTTCCTTCTTTCTCTTTCTCCCTCTCTCCTCTTCCCTTTTGTCTCTCCTCTCTCCTTCTTTCACTCTCCTCTCTCCTCTCTGCTCTTCCCTTCCTCCTACATCTCGCTTGCTTTTTTTTTTCTCCTCCTCATTCTGCTTTTCCTCTTCTTTCCTTGCTCGCCTTCTCTTTTCCTCCCTTTCGTTCTCTTCCTCTGCCTTCTCTTCTTCGTCTTCGTCGTCTTCTTCTTCTAATTCTTCCTCCGCTTCCTCTTCCTCCTCTTCCTTCTGTATCTCTCCTCAATCTTCTCTTTAATCTTTCCTTTACCCCTTTCTCCCCGCTCTATCTCCTCCTCTCTTCTCTGCCTCCCCTTTCTCCCCGCTCTCGCTCCTCCATTTTTATTCCTCCCCGCGGAATCACAGTCTCCGGATTGCCCCGAACTTCGTCTGAGACACGGAACCCTCTCTCTTTGATGCAATGTCTCGGATCCAGACCATTAGGGAGTTATTTTTGGTCCGGTCGAATTATTTGGACATACACACGCACGCCACACGCACAGGCAAACTCGCGCACACACTCGCATAAGGCATAGACTTGTCGTGCAGGCGCTCAGGTAGGTTTGTAAACACTCGTAGGCGTTCGGGTAGATTGGCACGGCAGGTACTCGCTCAGGTAGACTCGTGCACAACTGTACACGCTCGCACAGATGGGCACTTACACAGTCGTGGAGACAGGCACTGATACGCTCACACGACGGGCACGTACACACTCGCACAGACGGGCATACATACGCTAGTTCAGACAGACTCGCACACACTCGCACGCGTTCGCACAGACAAACACGCACGCACTCGCACGCGCGTGTTACTCATGGGTCGTGGATACGCACTTTCTCGAGTGACGTTTAGGAAAAGTATAAGCCCATCCATATCGCTCTGATACACATACACCCACACTGTCTCTACGCACAAACACTTGCACGCACAAACAGATTATATACATGATCGTTCCCGTACGTACATTTTTTTAGCTTCGAGAAATAAAACGTGATTGCAGGAGTCAAGCAGAAATAAAATCGAAATTTAATTTTCTTTCTTTATGAATTAGACTCGACGCAGAAAGACTAAATATTTTTGTTTACAGTTTTCCAGTTTTTCGCTCATTTTTAATCCTGTACAGTGAGAGAAAATTACGAATTTATGATGATTGTGATATAGCGACTCACGGCAGCAAAACTAATAATGCTAATTATCTTGATATTCGTAATAGAACGGTAATGATGCAAGTAAGCTAATGATGATCCACGCATTAAGATTTTTTATTGTTATCTCGCGTTCAATAAATACATGAGAGGTTCTCTTGTACGGTTTCCAACCTTTTTTTTTATCCCATATGTTCTCTCTCTTTCTCCCTTTCCCCTTTATTGAATCTTGTTAACCCTTATACTCCCTTTTGATCCATATTTGGACCCCTCTCTCCCGATCTCTCTATCTTATCAGCGTGCTTCTCCCTATCTTTTTATTTTATCACTGTATATTATTATTGTTCTCTTCCCTATCTCTTTGATCTTATCAATGTTTCTTTTTTTATCAGTATATCTTATCAGTATCTCCCTATCTCTTTTATCATTTCTCTCTATCTCATCAGTGTCCTATTGCATACGAAGCTTCGAAATCAGAGACGCGTTCCTCCCTCCTTCCCATCCCTCCCTCCCTCCCCCTCTTCCCTATCACCCTCACCCCTCCCCTTCATAAGGACACCGAAAAACTCTCTTGACTTCCTTACCCCCCCCCCCCCCTTCATACTCCCCCCCCCTCACCTTTTTCACCCTTAGTATCAGCCATTCGGTTCACCCAAGCACTACTACCTCGTTTTGCTGAAGTTCCAGTGGTGAACTTGACTGCTGGGAGAGGGAGGAAAAACTCTAGGGACATTGGACGCCATGTTTCAGTACCTCCTGTGCAGTTCTGCCAGGGTGGGGATGAATTTTTTTTGACTAAATTCAGATTGAGAAAGATGAAGCAGATGAAAGTAAAGATATATGCATTTCTATAAGTCAAGAGAGACTAGTATTATTATTTTCGAGTAATAACTTCAAAATTTGGGGTTTGATTTAGATACTTTTTTCGTTTCAAGTTTTGCGAGTTCGCCTCTGGAAGAAGCACACCTGTGTTTAGGAATCGTGGCCATTCACAAAGGACTGGTGTTGGCAATAGTAAAAAGAGAGAAAAATATTGGGACTTTTTTCTCTTTTTACTTAACAAATGAAATATAATCTTTAAAGGATTCATTTCATCTTAGAAATGATGTAAAGTATTTGCCAATGCCTTTTATTCATAGGAAGTTGGCACACTGTACACCACCAGTTCTTAGTGCAGCGAACCATTTTGTTCCAACACTGGCATGGCACAACGCACTCGCACGTGTACAGAGCACGGATGTAGGACGGAATCCCAGGAGACGAAAATCCAGACTGATCCTTTATCCAATCCTCTATCCAACCCCAGTCAGTTTATTTTCCCGAATCCTCAGGACCAAATCACCTGAATCCAAAACCTCCATTTTCCTTCACCTAAAACCTCTTTTTCGAGAAACCTAGAACCTGATCTGAACCTTAACCGTAGCCTCACCTCCATCGCCAAACCCCAGAACCCCCCACCACTCTCTCTTCCCCTAGAACCGAACACCATCTCATTTTGTCCCACTGGTATTTTGTTCTCCCTCACCCCTTGTATATCGAGGCCTGGTATTTTGTCCGTGAACCCACCATGCACAAACACCCATCTCCGTCCCAGTACTCTTTTATTCGTTGGCAGCTGAGAATAGTTCAAAGAGTGCCTCGTTGCGTGGCACTCCTGTACGTGACACACCTTTGTGATGAACTGGCTTTTATCTTGAGACTGTGGTGTAGCTCTGATCGCCACGGGTTGACTTATGATTTTTCCCTTGAGTTATTTGCACCACACGTTGCATAGAGACTTGCAGTATTATGACCACTATTTGGATTGTGTTTTTTTTTAAAGCATGCTTGATGACTGTTTATTTTGATATTATTTTGTTTTTTTGTTTTTTGGTTGTTTCTATGAGTTCTGTTCACGGATTTTGTGTTTTTTTTTTTTTTTGTACGTCTTCATTTTGTATATACTTCTGTTTGACTTCGTGTATGTATGTATGTATGTACTACCCGTGTATTTTTAAGGTTTAAAGTTTGCCTCGACCAGTTAGAAGCGAGCGTAGAATTATTATATATTTAAAAAAAGATAGAGAGGCAGAAAAGCAGCACTTCACATCAGTCTGCGATGTTATGTGTTTGTTTGTTTTCTTAAGCAGTTCTTAAGCCTAGGCAGCAGTGCTATAAGGAATGCCAGCTAGTGATTCCCACTTAGAGACAATGGCTTGGACGGAATTTTCGATAGCAGGAGATACGGCTAGTAGTTTTACCATTTTTTTACTATTACTTATATATCTACATCTCTGCCGAAAGCATCTTACGAGAAGTAGTGCTAGTTAGAGAAGGAAAGAAAAGGAGTTTAGAGTATCTCGCGTAGGCTCCGAGACATCCCCTACCCCCCTCTGCCTTCACGCGAGGCCGAAATGGGCTCAGATGTTTGGCACCTGTTCCCCCCCTTTCCCCCCAGGGCTTCCGGACCCCCCCGTGGACGTGCAGGTGGAGCCCGGCCCCCAGGATGGCTCGCTGCTCGTCACGTGGCTGCCCGTCACCATCAACAGCACGGGTGGCACGTCCAACGGCGCCCCCGTCACGGGCTACGCGGTCTACGCCGACGGCAAGAAGGTCACCGAGGTCGAGAGCCCCACGGGTATGTGTGTGGGGGGAGGAGGAGTGTATGTGTGTATGGGTGGATGGGTGTGGGTGTGGGTGTTTTTATGTGTGTGTGGGTGTGTGTTTTCAGGCTTACATTCAGTTTGTCAGTGAGTATGCTCAGATTGAGATCAGCTCTCATGTTCCTCAAAGAATTCTACTAACCACAATTTTTTTTCCCATCCTCTCTACCACCCTACCCCCTCCCATCCCACCTTGCCCTCCACCCCACCCCCCCTATCAACCACAGGAGACCACGCGCTCATCGACCTGACGAAGATCCCCGGGTTCGAGCCCAAGCAGGTGACGGTGCGGACGAAGAGCCGGGACAGCGTCTCGGGAGACTCCGTGCCCAGCCAGATACCCAGCCACTTCGCGAGGGACGAGGCCGAGGGAAGGTGAGGAAGAGGGGAGAGTGGGTGGGAGGGGGGGATGGGGATGGTGGGTGAGGGTTGAGAGAGTTGAGGAAGAAAGGAAAGAAATGAAGAGAGAGAGAGAGAAAAGAGAATGAGGGAAGAGAGAGAAGAGAGATAAAAAGAGAATGAAGGAAAGAGAGAGAGAGAGAGAGAGAGAGAGAGAGACAGTGAGTGAGTTTTTTTTATTTCTCTCAGAGGGTCATGCTGCAGTGTCACACCCGTGAAGGCATCCTCTATTTTTTTTTTTTTTTTTTTTGTTCTGTGCTTTTGTTTTCAGCCTTTGAGACGTCCACGCCAGCTTTATGCCGTCACACCAAAAATCCCTTTTTTTCCGTTTTATTTCCAAGTTTTTTAGTTTTTAGTTATTTTTGATACTCTTCTTTTAGCATTGTTATTTGTTCTATTTGTTCGTTTCCTTGCACGACTTCACCAACATCACAGTCAGCTCATCTCTTTGCATATTCGGACACTGGATTCATACTGAAGAAAGTCCTCCCACACCGAATCGGACACAGCACACGCTTTGTTAGACTGCAAAGAAGGATTCAATTTCTTAAAAAAAGACGATACAAAGAAGGATTTAATTTCATAAAAAAAGATGATAATGAGATGTAAAAAAAGTACATGATATAGGAATACGGCACAATTTCTTCAAGATAATATCAATAATGATAGTGATTATAGCAATAACAGTGATGGTTTAAGGATAATGGTGATAATGATACCAGTGGTGTTAAAGGCAAGATTGAGAATAATGATAATGATAGTTATAATCACAATGATCATGATAATACTAATAGTGATGATGACAATAAGAGCAAATTATAATGATACAGTGAATGAGATAGATGCTATAAATCAGACCATTATACATCAAATGATATTGATAAGAAATTAAATGGAAAAGTATCTTGAAGACTTAGTTTGACGTGAATCAAAAATAATTTTACGTGAATCAGAACACAGTTGCAATAACAAAGAAGAAACTCGCGCTTTCACACCCCACCTCTGTTATGGAATCCATGCCAGATGCACGATGATTTCTGGGCACATATGCACAAGGGCACAGGCGCATGGTCGGGCATGCAAGCACACGGGGACATGCACTACACAGGTGAACATGCACAGCGAAAGGCCCAAGACGACCTGTGTTGTATAACAGACACGCTTACACGCTCTCACAGTCACGGGTTTATTTACATACTGCATCTGGATATTGGTTGGATGGGTGTCAAGTGGCTTAAGATATGCGTAAGTCTTTTATTAGGAAGTGTATATATATATATGTGAATATCGATGTATATTCTTTGTCATTTTGTTAATTTGTCATTTGTCAGAACATGAACTTATGAAGAGGAAATCATGTTTTAAGTGAAGTTTTTTTTTATCTGTCATGCAATCGCCCATGACTGTCATGGTCATCAAACATTCAGGCTATTATCATGTCAACACGTTATACACTCAAGTTGATTTTATGGTGTCTACATATGGTGTCATAATGTAATGATATTATGGTATCATAATATACAGTAAATTACACGACTTAATTGATAAAAAAAATGTAATTATGAATATTCCCAGTTATACACAAATAAGCAATCAAACTGCAGTGTAAAGATATTTACATATGTGAAAAATATGTAAAACAGGGACATCAAACATTGTAGATAATGTATTTATAAAACACTAGGGTTTTATACTCAGAATCTCTATCAATAGAACCCAAAATCATGTACAATATTCTCGACAAGATGTTGGAAATTATTTCAAAAAGAAGAATAAAAAATAAGAAACACATTTGCACGATCTACAAACATGCATATTACTGGACTAACATCAAGCTGGATCCCGAGAAATAACAACATTGCATAAATTTTGGGAAACAAAAACATCATTTCGTAGTTTTAGAGATCATTTTCTTTGTTTGTTTTGAGTTTGTTTTTGTTTTTTGTTTTTTCTTCTTCTTTAATATCATCTCATATACCATATATCACATACCATCTTACGCTTATGTTTTGATATGTGTACATTTATTTTGTTTGTTGTATTTTTTGTGATTATTTTGCATTTCCCTAATTCTTTTCTCTTTGTTTATGCGTAATTTTCCTTTGCTGTTATGTAAATCCCAATTTATAATTTACGCCCGTTTCTCTTAGTTTTTCCCTTTATCATTAATTATGTTTTTTATCATTTTATTGTTTAGTTTCAGTTTATTCCATTTCCTTTCCCCCCATTAGCTATATTTATTATTTTATTGTTTAATTTCAGTTTATTCTATTTCCTTCTCCCGCCCATTAGCTTATTATCCCCCACCTTTTTTATCGCCTATTTTGTTTTGTTTCCCGTCCCCCCCACCCCTCCTTTTATCGACGTCTATTTCGTTTTTTTCCGTTTTTGTTTTGATTTCGATTTTTTATTTTCGTTGCTTTAGTTCCCTCTCCCCTCATTCTCGACAGCTGGAAGAGGAAGAGGCAATGTTGCACTCAGACATGGACCGCCCGTCCGAGCTGTCCGACATCGCCGAGGAGAGTGAGACAGAGTTGTCTGACGAGGTAACTACGAGGTTTGCCTACTCCTACTCCTCCTCCTACTCCTCGCTCCCTCCTGCTCCTACTCCTCCTACTGCACTCCTGCCTACTCCTGCTCCTACTTCCTGCTGCCTACTCTTGCTCCTCCTCCTCCTACTCGTACTCTTGCTCCTGCTTCTCCTCTCCCTACTCCTGCTCCTCCTGCTTCTGCTCCTGCTCCTGCTCCTCCTCCTACTCTTGCTCCTGCTCCTCCTCCTACTCCTGCTCCCGTTCCTGTTCCTAATTTATTGCTCCTACTCCTGCTCCTCCTACTCCTCTTACTCCAACTCCTACTTTTTCTGATCTTATAAATCCTCCTTTTTAATCTCGGTGTCCTGTTCCTTCTCTTAATACGTCTCCTTTTTCTTTTTCCTCTTCTTGCTTTCCTTCTCATCCTCCTCTTCTTTTCCTGCCTTCCTCCTCCTCCTCCTTATTTTTCTTCCCTACCTCCTTCTCCTTCCTTCTTCCCTTGCTTTTCCTTCCTTCCTCCTCCTCCCTCCTCCTCTCCCCCCTTCCTCTCCTCTCCTCCTCTCTCCTCCTCTCCTCCTCCTCCTCCTCCTCCTCCTCCTCCTCCTCCTCCTCCTCCTCTCCTCCTCCTCCTCCTCCTCTCCTCCTCTCCTCCTCCTCCTCCTCCTCCTCCTCCTCCTCTCCTATCCCACCTCCTCCTTTGTCCTCCCTCTTCCTCCTGCGTCGGAAGCCAACGAAGAGAGGAACAAAGAACAAGAGAAAGACGGGACACAGAGGAGAGAAGCCGAGAGACAGAAGAGAGGAAAAGGACGGGCGCGCTCTCTCCCTCTCTCTCTCTCTCTCTTTTTATTTGCATTTTTATTTTCCCTCCTGCACTTCATTTATGTTTGCTTTGTTTTGATTTTCCTTTTCCATGTTTGGTGGCTGGAAGCGGGTGAGCTTGCGTCTTTTGTTTTACTTTTGTTTTATATTATTATATTGTACTCTCATATGGGCGAGATCGGGGCCGTTATTTTATTATTGTTTTTTTGTCTTTATTTTCTATCTTGATTTAAGGTATGTCTGTGAAAGAAAGAAGAGTGAAACGTTATTGGTAAGTGGAGGTTTAAAACTGCATGCGATATTTTGTTTATTTTTTGTTCATTTTGTGCCGAAGGCCCGGCTGCACGGGTGGGCGGGCGGGCCGGGGTGGGGTAGGGGTGGATGGGGCGGGAAGTAGGGTGAAGTAGTCATTTTCAGGGCGACCTGTAGATCAATATTGGGGCTGGGGTACGGGGGGCGGGAAGTCGGCGGGGCGGGAAGCCCGGGAGCGGGGCGGGCGGAGCGGCCGCCAGGTGCACGAGGCGGCCGCAGTAGCTGCCCGCTGGAGTCGTGGTTCGCATTCACACCCTCCCTCCTCCTCACCTTCAGGACATGCATGCCGACGGCCACAAGCCCGGCCCGCACCATGGCCTCGGCGGCCCCCACCACGGCCGCCCGGCCAGCACCACGGCCCGCCCGGGGGGCCCCACCACGGCCCGCCGGGGCCAGGCGGGCTGCGGGACAGGCTGCTGGGCCGGCGCGGCGCCCCCGCGCCCGGCGTGCGGACGGACCACCTCGGCCAGACCATCCTCGATCACGAGGACAACCTCAGCGACAAGGAGATCTACCCGGGCCACCAGCAGGGCCAGATGGCCCCGCAGACGTCCATCCCCGCCATAGGTGAGTCACGCGGCGTGCGCCAGCCTCCTCCCCCGCCCAGCCGCCCACGACCCTCGCACGCCCGCGTGAGGAGGCGAGGCGGCGAGCATGCCTGGGCTCGAGGGGACCGCCGCCGCACCGCTGCCTCACTCGCGTTCCTTCTGCTCACCTGCTGCCGCTCAGTCTTACTGCTGATCACAGAACACTTGCGGACTCTTGCTTGGCAGACACTCACTCATGAGTCATATTTCCTTTCTCAGTCAAGTTCTTGGGAAATCACCATAAAAGTGTACTTAGATAGAAGTTGCAAGGAATGACATGATTCAATATAACTTAGCTGACAGAAGGCAGAACAAAAATTAGCAATGTATTCCACATTAGCTTCCTTTTGGCATAATCTATAGAAGTTCCTCTACAGTGCACTATATTATTATCATTACTACTACCATTATTATTATTTGACGATTACTTACCACTCATTCCTATTTTTTTGTCTTGATTTTAACGTCTCACCAAAATATTAAAATATGTCTCCCCTTTTCTTCTTTCTCTCCCCTCTTTCCCCCCCCTCTCCCCTCACACTTGGCGCCTCACCGGGCAGGCCCAGCCAGAAGCGGCCTCGCCAGGCTCTCTAGCTCTTTATTCAATACAATAGGTCAGTTGAAAGGTAACGAATGCTGGTCGTCCATAATGAACAATCAACAGATTTGTACATAGTTTCTTATACACCTTTTTTGGAAATTCGATTGTTTTCTTATTTTTGTGAATGACAAACCCCCCCTTTCAAGATGCAGTTTCTTAGTTTGTTTGTTTTTTTCTCTTAGAAAGAGACTTTTGATAGATTTCGTAATACTTGACATGTATTAAAAAAAAAGGAATATCTTTCTTTAGTTGTCTCTTTGTAGAATACTATTGGATATTTTGGAAAGTAGTTTTACGTGATTCATGATAAAACGTAGGTGTAGTATTGGCGAATTGTTATTGTGCATTTATTAAATATTCTGAGAACGTAGTATTACTATTATTGCTATTCTTTTTTACTAGTGGTGAGAACTAATTATTAAGTATATGGATAAGACAATACAAGATGTATTTGATATTCTTGTTTTCTTACATGATAAAATTGGTTAGAAAATAGATAAGAAAAAATGTGTAAAAAATGTTTATTGTAGTAATATCAGATCTTTGAGGATGTCTGTTGTAGAAATTTCACTCCGAGGGAATAGACATGTATATTTTTCCCCTCACAGATTCGACTTTTTTGGAAGCATTTCCTTGGAACTCAACTATGTATTTTTTTCTCTCTTAATCTATATATGAATTTCCATGTTCCTTTTTCTCTCTCTCATTGTTGCACACTTTCTCGCAAATAACTGCCATTTAGCACTTCATAATATTGCTGGCTTTGCAACGACAATAAGGCCCAGTTAGGTGCTGCTTTCAAACGTACTAGAGAGATTTTGATTATGTTAAATGAGTATATTTTTTCTGACTGGGTTTTATGTTCGTTGATTGCCACAGCGTGTAATGAATCGTTTGTATGTGCAGTGAATGTTGAATGTGGTGTTAATTGCGTGGTATTTAATACAGGTATTTTTAAGTGGGACTGCGCATGTACACACAGTGTAACAAGCGCTTACGCACGCACGTTCACACACACACACACAACACACACACACACACACACACACACACACACACACACACACACACACACCACACACACACACACCACACCACACACACACACACAACACACACACACAACACACACACACACTCACACTCACACTCACACTCACACACACACACACTCTCACACACTCACTTACACTCCTCATACACTGACAGATGCAATGTGCGGATTCAAACTCAGTGGATGTTCGGCCTCTCGCTGTTACCTGTTGCCACAAGTTGAAATTGCAAAATGACCCATGACGAGACGTGATGGATTGAGATCCCTGTATAGAAAAGGAAGGAATTTCTTGCCTTAGATCCGTGTTTTAATTTTCGTGTTTTATGCTTTCGGTATTGTGTTTTCTTTAACTACTAACATGGAATCGTTAACAGAAGTCAAAATTGTTTCAAAGTTGACACTCAAGTTGCGATTACGGTACTATGAACTTGGTGTTTGTTTTTATACTTCAGTAGTACTTATTAACACGTTCTTTGTCATTACCATTATCCAGGCTAAATGTGGACTTTACGTTTAATCAAATCACGACTTTGTGACAGTGTGTCAATAGCATACAAATATTGCCTAGTCATTCTCCTTTTAAAAATATGTATATATATTTCATCAAAATCATCCTATTTATTAATCTTTTTGACTTTTGCTTTATGATATCCGGATCTAATTAACATCTTGGATAGTTTCTAGACCATCTTGTAAACATGAGACGGACACGTGTAAATACTCATCGGCAACTGTGGCTGTTTGTAGATAGAGGCATGAGCCGAGAGGTCGAGCAGCCAGTCAGTGTGTATATCAGATGAATAACATTGAGTATCGATTAAAGAGAAAGCGGGATTAAAAGGAAATATAGGTATAATGTAATTGACGGAAGAGAAAGCGGGATTCATAATCTGATGAGGATAATGATGGTGATGTAATTGACGAAGAGCTAATCATTCTTCGGTTGTTTTGTTCGGCATTCTTCTTGAAGTTATTATTATTATTATTATTTTTTGTCTTTGCTGTTCTCTTTTTTGAAGATACTCAATGTCTATGCTTTGTTGTGATTTATATATTTGTTTACTCTTTAACCAGGTAGTGGAGATAATTATTGTCATTGTTGTTGTCCGTTTTATTTACATTTTTTAAAATCATCATTATTATTATAAACAGCAGTCTTGTCTCTTACAGTGCAGTCTCTGCAATACTTCTCATGTGTACTCTCTTTATTCTTTATTCTCTCTTGTCTCTGCTCTTCTAATTCTTGGCTTTAGCAACCACAGCAGAGAAGTGTTACTCACTCTTTCATGTCCCGTTAGAGCACTCATATGTATTCAACCATTTCTCTAGCTCAAAGAACTTTTTACTACTATGACAGTATGCTATTTTTTCCCATATTAAACTCTACTTTTCTTCAATTGTTTATTTACTTGTTTTTTTTATGTTTTGAGTTTGTCACTTTCATGTTTGTGTCCAAGGCTGAACTGTCTCTTTCCCCTACCAGGCAAAGGCGTCTCCAGAGCTAGACGTAAGTATTCGTTACGTTATCACAAGGTTTAAATAACACAAAAAAGAGAAAGAAATTAAAAAGATTAAATAAAAAAAGGAATTTTGAAGGAAATTCGCGCTTCAGGGTTCATCTCAAAATTCCTTACGCTGTCTTCTTTTTTTGAATTATTATTTTTCCAAGTATAAAAAAAATGGCGGGAACTTTCGTTCTTCTTCAGTGGGATTTGGTTCCTATTTTAGTACTTTTTCCTCATTTTGGAAAATTGTGATTCAAAATTTAAGATAAAACATCTGTTTCGTAATTGGCTATAATCTATTGTATCAATTCAAAATTCAAAACCAAAGAAGCATATAATTGCTAATGGAATCTTCAGTTGCATTTGTGTGTTTTTTAATTCATTCCATTCGCTTTGAGGAAAGGATTATTTTTGCAACGGAGTGAGAATGATAACACATTTCCCTTTTTTTCAACGGTTTGACCACATCACTTTGTTGTAAACAGTCACATAAATTTTAGTTTTGACTTGAGTTCCGTTTGCATAGATTATTTGTTAGGGTCCTGTCCTCTAATTAAAAGGAAATTACAGTACATAGTTTTGTATAAATGATGTTTACTTTATGAGGGAAAGAGCAGGGTAAGATGTATGTGGATGTCCTTTTAAACTTTGCATTTCGAAAAGACCGATAGGAAGCTGTTTACCCTTGCACGTCGAGTAATGTTTTAACAGCCTGTGTATCTCCTCCGTGTGGCTTCTCCTTATTATTCCCTTTATCTCAATAACCTCCCCCCCTAGATTCCTCGATTAGCGATGTCTTTCTGGTTGGTAGTTTGAGGGGGAATTGGTTGTCAGTTGGAATTCCCCTTTCCTCATTTCCTGTTGCTCTCGCCCCCTCCCCCCTCCCCTTCTCCCTTCCCCCTTCCCCCCGCAAATGGTGTTTTCTAGATATACATCCTTCAGGGCCTCCCCCCTACACCCCCCTCCCTCCAGGATCATTTGTCGCGTGTGGTCCCCCCTTATTTGCATAGCCAGATATTGTCATTTTTGCAAAGGGACCTGCAAGCGCGACCGTCCTGCAGGGATTGCATATGCAAGACTGCGCATTTCGCCTGTTTTTTTTCCCTAGCACCCTGCCGTACATCCCTCCTGCACATCTTGCTAAACAGTTTCGATTTTTTTACCCCTTTTTTCTCGTATCTCATTCCCCCTCTCACTGATGCTGTGGACTTTGTTTATATTTTCACTCGTTTCCCCTTGTTTCGTTTTTTCTCCTTTTTTTTACCCATTTTGAATTACCATCATATGGGTCACATTCACCCCCCCCCCTAAAAAAAAAGTAACGCTTGATGACACATTCTTTTTGATAATGTGATGAAACTGATCCCACGGAATAAAGCATATACCCCCCCCCCCTTTCCACTGTGTATAAGAGACACATTGTCACAGTGATAGCGTAGCCACCAGTACCTAGATTACTTACCATTATCTAGATTACTAACCATTTCCTAGAATACTAACCATTCCCTGAATTACTTACCAATGCCTAATTTACTTATCAATACCTAAATTACTTACCAATGCCTAGATTACTAACATGTAGATTGCCTAGATAAGTAACCATTGCCTAGATTTGCAATATTTCGCTAGTTTTAGTGCACTTGACTGAATGCCAAGTTAGGGTTGCGGAATATTTTTTTTTCTTTTTTTTGCATTGCGTTGATGGATCTTAATTGGTAAGAGTCTTCAGTGGCTTTGGCAAATCGTTCTTATTGTAGCAAGGCAGTAACAACTATTAGAAGGTTGTAGATCTATAGTACGTCTGCCTCACAGGTGTGTTTGTTAGTTTCAATAGAGCAGACTTGTCTTTGCCTTAATCTTAGGCTTGCAAAGTACTGGTAGAACAGCCTTGCATCTGAAGTCCTCTTTCTGCTGAGCTGTGAATTACTCAACCCTTTTCTACAGAAATAACCAAAGACACAGCCGGCGAGACCCACCCGCCGCTCGAGGAGGACTACGAGATGGGCCAGGGCGGGCGCGGGCGCTTCGACCCCCGCAGCGCGCCCCCGCGGTCGCACCTGGAGCGCGGGCGGCCCCCTCCCCCGCCCCACCACAATCGGCCCATGATGCGCGACCCCAGGGACCCCCGGGACGTGCGGGACCCCCGCGACCCGCACTACCGCGACGGCCGCGACCCCAGAGACCCCCGCGACAGACGGGACCCCCACATGCGGGACCCGCACGCCCACCGGGACCCCAGGGACCCGAGGGACATGCGCGACCGCTACGAGGGCGACGGGCGGCACCGGGGCGAGTACGGGCGCGACTACCCCGGCGGCAGAGGCGAGGGGCGCGGCGGCGGCGGGCGCGGCGGCGGCGGCCAGGGGGACCAGCACACGCGCATCTTCGTGGCGCTGTTCGACTACGACCCGCCCACCATGAGCCCGAACCCCGACGCCTGCGACGAGGAGCTGGGCTTCCGCGAGGGCCAGCTCATCCAGGTCACCGGCGACAAGGACCCCGACGGCTTCTACTGGGGCGAGCTGGGCGGCAGGCACGGATACGTCCCCTGCAACATGGTGTCCGAGGTGCAGGTAAGGCCGGGCGAGGGCGGCAGGCTTCGGCCAGGGCGGGGGGTTGGTGCCGGGCGAGGGGCGTCCGGACGGGCGGCCGGGGGCGTCGGAGGTCGTTTTGGGGAAGAGATGGGCTGGCTAATGCACCCAGTTTATATATATATATATATATATATATATATATATATATATATATATATATATATATATATGTGTGTGTGTGTGTATGTGTGTGTGTGTGTGTATATATATAATATATATATATATATATATATATATATATATATGGTGTGTGTGTGTGTGTGTGTGTGTGTGTGTGTGTATGTGTGTATATGTGTATGTTATCTATCATTTGTATTTAGTTTATTAGTCAGACAAATTATCCAAACACTATGATATTTTAGAATTAAATTTTGACTGATAAACAAAGATGACATATTTTCTGTTTTTTAATCATACGTTTATTTACTATTGTTCTTTCCTCATAAAATTTATTATATCTTTATGTTTGACTTTTCATGATATAATTTATGTTATTAAATGAAATATGAACGGTCCGGTATTTTTCCCTCGAGGAATCTGACAAGACGAGTAAACTACATGCCAGCGGTGACATTAATATAGATTTTATTCATAGTGAATGTTTTAAATGCATTATTACTGGTTAAGGTTTATGTTGCTGAGTCAACAAAGTATTTTCTTTGACTTGTAAGTGGGTTTATTCTGTTGACGATTTTTGTAATGATTTAATACAACTTATGAATTTGTAACTACTAAATAATCAATTTGGGTATTCATTAATTGAGAGAAAACAAAATTATTTTATTGAAAAAGCAGTTTAATGATCGTAGAGGCCATGCTAACTCGATACAGATCTTATAAACCAAGTAATTTTTAACAGTGGAGAGTCTGGCCGATGAAAAGCTACATGTTGGTCCGTTGAAGTCCGGAGCAAAAGCCTGGCAGGTCAAGGCGACTATGTGGAGGAAGGATGGAGGCGGGGCTTTCCGATAGTCGACGACGGAAGAATCCATTAGCTATCTCCCGCCTTACTAATTCCCTTGTTGAATGGTCTCCCCGGTTTTTTGCCATTTGTACCCCCTCTGTGCCCCTCTACCTCCCTGCTTCTAGCGACTCTCTCCCCATGATCTTTTGACTCCCCGATTCCTACCAGCCTCTCCCCATTCAAGCTTGTTCCTCCATATCATTCCACCCTTTCGTATATGCTCCCATGTCTCACCACTTCCTTCCACCCTTTCCTCGTGCTCCTTTGATTTCCTACCTCCAACCGCCCTTTCCCCATGCTCCTTTGACTCCCCTCTTCCTTCCACCCACTCCTCATGCTCCCCTTTCTCCCCACTTCCTTCCACCCACTCCTCATGCTCCCCTTTCTCCCCACTTCCTTCCACCCACTCCTTATGCTCCTCTTTCTCCCCACTTCCTTCCACCCACTCCTCATGACTCCTCATGCTCCCTTTCTCCCCACTTCCTTCCATCCACTCCCATGCTCCCCTTTCTCCCCACTTCCTTCCACCACTCCATGCTTCCCTTTCTCCCCACTTTCCTCCACCCACTCCATCTGACTTCTCTCCCCATCCTTCCCCACATCCTCATGCTCCCACTTTCCTCCCCACTTCCTCCCACTCCTCCTCACCCTTTCTCCCCCACCTTCCATCCCACCTCATGCTCCCTTTCTCCCTCCCACCTTCTTCCATCCACCTCCCTTATGCTCCTCTTTCTCCCACTTCCTTCCATCCACTCCCCATGCCCCTTTCTCCTCATGCCGCTCCCCTTTCTCCCCACTTCTTCCATCCACCTCCCCATGCTCCCCTTTCTCCCCACTTCCTTCCACCCACTCCTCATGCTCCCCTTTCTCCCCACTTCCTTCCACCCACTCCTCATGCTCCCCTTTCTCCTCTTCCTTCCACCCACTCCTTCATGCTCCTCTTTCCCTCCCCACTTTCCACTTCCAGTTCCATCACCATCCCATCTCTTTCCCCTTTTCTCCCCACTTTCGCTTCCACCCACTTCCTCATGCTCCCTCTTTCTCCCCACTTCCTTCCATCCACTCCTCATCGCTCCCCCTTGTTTCTCTCCTCACTTTCCTTTCCACTCACTCCTCATGCTCCCTCTTTCCTTCACCCACTCACATGCTCCCCTTCTCCCACCTTTCTCCCTCACTCCTCCCTCCAACTTTTCTCCCCACTTCCTTCCATCCACTCCTCATGCTCCACCCCCTTAGCTCGTCCCCACATCCCCACTTCCTCATTCTACCCTCCCTTGCTGCTTTCCCCACTTCCTTTCCCCACTCCCATGCTCCCCTTTCTCCCCACTCCATCCTTCCTTCCCCATCGCCACTTCCTTCCACCCACATCCTCATGCTTCCCACTTCCTTCATCCCACTCCTCATTGCCCCCCTTCCCCATCCACCCACTCCTCATTCCTTCCCCATCCACTCCTCCTGCTTCGCCTCAAACTCGCCCCTTCCTTGCCAATTGATCCACTCCTCAATTCCATCACTCCCATGCTCCAATTCCTCTTCCTCCATGCTCAACCACATGCTTTCTCCCCACCCCTTCATCCATTCCCCAGCTCCCAACCTCCAACCGCCCTTTCCCCATGATCCTTTGACTCCCCAATTCCTACCACCCTCACCCCATGCTCCCCTTTCTCCTCCCAATTTCCAACCTCTCTTTCACCCGCAAACTTGGAGCAACAAGTTAAAAATCGTTCGACTGAATGATGAGAGCGGAAGTGAAGAGAGGAAGATCCCTACGTTAGAGTGACTAGAATGACAAAAAATAGTGTTTTCCATCCGTCGAGCTCCTCCTTCCCCGTCCACGATGTCTGAGGCAAAAATCTGGAGTGGCAATCGGAAAAGAGAGGAATTTGGCGAAGAAAACATCAGGGAAGCACACATGCCCAGGGTGTATCCAACTGGCAGTCGTCATGGAGGCGTCATCATCGGAAAGGGAGGAATGCAGGGGATCGATTCGTGAGAAGTCAAGCCCGGGGTGATCCGGAATGGATGGGAATGAACTCCGCCCGATGAGTGGAATGACCTTGAGAATGAGACAGGCACACAGGCACAACACAGGACAGACAGACAGACAGACAGACAGACAGACACACACAGACAGACAGACAGAACTAAAACCGATCGGAGAGAGAGTTGTGACCTTGAGACGGGAAATGATGAAGCAAGCAGGTGGTCGGTCTTTCTGTAAATACACGGGGCATACAGCGAGAAAGTCAGCGACGTGTACCTAAGTAACAGTACCGAGCATTACTCTGTCTACGGGAAAGAGTAAGGCGTATTACGAGCCAGGATGCAAATAGGTAGCTCACCTGCACCACATGGCAATCAGCGAAACAATGGAGCTCTAATTAGCGTTAAAAACACAAGGACCAGCTCCTAAGCATATTGAAACGGAGAGTAATTATAGCACAACACGCTGACGGGAATGTAGCAGAGCGTGTGAAAAAGGCAAAGGGAAAAGAGAACCCTGTGCGAATGTCGTGGAGCCGGTGAAAAAACAATATTTGATAGTGATTGTTATGCTCCAATTCTGTTTAGTTGTCTTCGATGATGCCAGGCCTTTGCGCCGGACTTCGAGGATGGAGAATAAGTTAATGACTTAATTAAGATATAATTTAAGGAGTAATGATATAGAAAGATGAATGGATAAATGAAATAGTTTAAGGTACTAGGTAATAAGTTTTCTATTATTTATTCTGTGCAATTCAGATTTGTCAGCTGTTTTTTTGTTTGCAGGCGACTAACACAAAAGCGATAACAGGGGTAAGAGGAAGAATTCAGTTATAACAGAAATGAACAAAAGAAAAATAGCACCAATTTGATTGCATACGAGTATCACTTGGAGTTGTATGGAACCTAAAGATTAGCACTTTTTTGAGTTGTAATTGCAAACTGAGCTTGTAATTTTCTTTGGACCAAAGTTGTTTGATACACTAATGCAGTAATTTCCTTTATGGGGGCTTTGTATATTTATTACTATTGCTATTACTAGTTTTGTTTTGATAAGTTGTTACACCTATATCAGTAGTGTAGTGAGCACATTACAGTATTATATTGCCGGTAATTAGTAGTATTGCATATTAACAACAGTCATTTGTGAAAACAGTGATGATGATATCAATAGACTAGACAAAATTTATGTATGATTGAATTTGTTCATGCTGTTATCATTATTTCTCCAAGAAAAATGAATTATAGGTATGAGCAAGTATTAATAGGTCATCTTTTTTATTGATTGCATATATAATAAAGGTATTAGAGATATTACACATATTGATTCACATTCCATAGTTGCCATTTGCAGTGTGCAGTAAGGAACAGACACACTTTTAATGGATTTATGATAGTTATTTTTCTGT